TCTCAGAGCAGGGCTCGCCCAAGACATTTTGGCACCTGAGGCAGCCCCCTGCCAGGGAAGAAGGGGTGAGTGAAGATCTGCATCAAGAACAATGGGATAATAAAGACCTACATCAGGAACAAGAGTGGGAGGAGACCAGTAGTGCCTCCTATTCACCAAGATGCTGCTGTATTGGGGGTGGGAGGACTGCTGAGGCACCAGCAGATCCAGCCTCCAAGGAGCACCACAGCTGTAGATGATACATTTCTTGGAGGCCAGATCTGCTGCCTTTGTGGTTCCTGCCACCTGAGGCAGTCTCTTCACCTTGCTTCATAGGTGGGCCAACCTTGGTTCAGAGGAAGACCCAGGAGGCAGGACTGAGGAGTATTCAGGATCAGCGAATAAGACAATAATTCAGGCTAGATACACATCCAAACTCAGATAGACCATGTTACTTGAGGAAAGTGCCACTAAGAAAGAAGGTTCTCTTCCCTATCTAGGAAAAGCCAATGGCCAGCCTGGGTGGTCTCGAAGGTTCTTTGGTGAGAAACTGTGGTGACAGGGCTTGCCACATGGGATAGTTGTCAGCAGTTCCAGACAAAAGCCATGGAAAAGTTTCTGCATTGCTTTGCTTTGGATACCGAGTGAAGGGGCCAAGAATCCCATCATTCACAGATGACATTTGGAGAGACATGAGCATTCCTTCCTCCCTCCCACCCACCAGTTTTCATGCAGTCATTGCTAAAATATAAAAGCTTTTTAGAGTTTTGGATTGGCTTGCAAAATGAAGCTTGTTATTTCTGTTTCACAGAGGGAGGGGACGAGTCAGTTCAACAGTCCAGTCGGCAACACTCTCTTTCAGGATACTGATCCAACTCCCTCCCCAACTTTCTCATTTTCTCCTGTTCTATCACACAATGTTCCAGGGCTACAGTCCATGCTCAGGGCCATAACTCATTGGCAGAGCATCTGTGTTGCAGTCAGAAGTCACAAGTTCAATCCCCAGCATCTCCAGGTAAGACTGGGACAGAGCCCTGGTCTAAAACCCTGGAGAGCAACTGCCAGCAACACTGAGCTACATGGACCAAAGATCAGATTCAGTATAAGGCAGCTCCCAATGTTCCTATGCTCAGTCTATAGCTGATTCCTCGGTTGGGAGGTTTGCCCCTTTAGGGTCATTTAAAAAACAACAACAAACTACTGCCAACCTTGGATTTGCTAATATCTCCTTCTTGTTTCTCTGAGACTCCAGTACTTTGGGCTGCATTCACTATTAGAGGGAGTAATGGTGACTAGAGTATATCCCTGGTTCCTTTCATGTGCATCATCTAAAGCTCAAAGACCAGTCCTTTATGTGCCCACACCCCATATTGTGCTAATAAGTGTCAATGGATATGCTGCTATAATGATAACCTTGTTCTTCTTAAACTCCCATTCATTTCTGTGAGTCTTGCATGGTGGATGTCTGGCAGTAGCCTTTAATCAAATAATTTTTGTGATTAGGCTCTCACACAGAGAATGTTAACATTGGTGGGCAATGGTGCACAAAATTGCATATGCATTGGAACAGGAGTTTTTGGAAGGGCAGCTCCTTGAATGTCTAAGGGAACAACAACAAGAAAAGAATTTTCCTTCCTAATTCAAGAACATGAAAAGCAGCCCCTTTGAATGCACAACATCGAGATGTGAATAGTTTGCAATGAGCTGGGCAAACAAATTCACCATAAGACCTCTGGGATGTCCTAATGAGGCCCATTTGCTCATGTTTCTCCACCATTGTACTATCGTCTATGTCTGTCAGCAGTTTGGACTTTAGCAGAAACCTAGATAGCCACCCTGAGCCCGGCTTCTGCTGGGGAGGGCGGGATATAAATTATTATTATTATTATTATTATTATTATTAATGAGTAAACTATCTTGGAATGCTATTGCACTAAAATCCAGCTTGCAGGCTTCCCATTGGCATCCGGTTGGCCAATGTGAGAACAGGATGCTGGCCTCGAAGGGCCATAGATGCAATCCAGCAGGCTCTTCTTATGTTCTTATATGGAGGGTGTGTGCTCAGGCCTCTGAGTACATTCCAGAGACAAAGGTCAACAGGGTTGATTTGGCCCCTGTGGTTGAAAAGTGCCATGAAGTCTCTGGATTGGCCAGGCCTGGTATAAATACTCAAAGCCTAGTCTTCTGCATTTCTTGGTCATCACTAGATATTTTCAACCACTGGCCTGAGGCACCCTGAGCTGAAGACCCTCCAGGTTTAAATTCAGATATGGCAGTCCCCTTATGCGGATAGCGTCATTATACAGTTTAGTCCCTAGGGGGAACTGGACTTTAGTTGTATCTAGATGGAGTTAGAAATGTGCTGTTGCTGCTCTGATCTTGATCAAGAGATAGAATAACATTCTCGTTCAGCCTCCTGAGATGGGCCACAGGAGTTTGCCAGTCCTTTGCCAGCACCTTTAGGGATTTAGGGCTTTGCGAGCAGTGCACTCACACTGGGCGCTGACCTAAGGGGGTGCCTTCTCAAAGCCCAGTAAGTGAGGTGCTTGGCTTTGGGAAGGAAGCGCGAGGCTCTGAGGGGGTCCCAGAGTCTTCCCTTCTCCTTCCCAAAGCCTAGTTAGCACTTCACCAGCTTTGGGGAGGATGTAGGTGGAGTATAGGACACTGCCAGAGCCTCATGCCTCCTTTCCAAAGCCAAGTGCCTCCTTACCTGCAAATTTGGGGGCAAATTTTGGCCTCACACAAGATGCAATAGAATGCTAAGAGTTGGAATGTCATCTAGTCCAACCCCCTGCAATGCAGGAATCTCAGCTAAAGCATCTATGACAGATAGCCATCCAACCTCTACTTAAAAACCTCCAGTGAAGGAGAGATTGCAACCTCTCAAGGGAGTCTGTTCCACTGTCAAACAGCTCTTACTGTCAGAAAGTTCTTCCTGATGTTTAGTCGGAATCTCCTTTCTGGCACCTTGAAGCCTTTGATTCAAGTCCAATCCTGAGAGGAGGCATACAAAGGGGCAACTTGATGCTGGGAGCAACGTGAGACATGGTGGAAGGTGGCCTGTGAAGCAACGGAGCTGAACTAAAGCCATCCTTGCAGTGGACCAGATCCAGTAAGTAGCTTAGGTCCTAACCGAATTATTCCATCAAAAACAGGTTGCTCCAAATCCCTTCTAATTCTTCCCAGCAATAACTTAAGCTTTGCAACGTTTTGCTAGAATCTCACAGCAGCCAGGAAAAAATATATTCCCCCTCTTTCTCTTCCCCTGACCATACAAGGGAAATGGATGAGATCATTGGGTTTTGTATAGTCTGAAGCAATGGCAGTTTCTTCATATTTACTCAAAGAGGGTTGTAAATCAACAATGGAGTGCCGTCTCTCTAAGTTATTTGCAGAGGGACGGGGGAGAGAGACATCAGTCTTTCATCCCAGCACGTTAGATGAGATTAGCACTGTTCTTTATTATATTTGTGCCCCCCCTCTAAATCTTGATTGCTTTTTTTGCTTAGAGTTTGTTTGTGCATAATGCCCCATTGTTGGCTGTGGGATTCTCATATCAGACAGCTTGTAACTTCTGAATCCAGGGGAGTTTTTTAAAAATACAGCAATAATATTATTTCCCTCCCTCTCAACCAGAGCCTCCAACCATCACTGAACTCTCCATATAAGGCTTTGCCAACCTGGTGCCCTCCAGAAACTTTGGACTACAACTCCCATCATCCCCAGCCAGGGTGCTATGCTTGCTGGGGGTGATGGGAGTTGTAGTCCAAAGCTTACGGAAGACTCCAGGTTGGTGAAGACTGCATTGTATCGATATACGGATGCAGTTGTCACTATACCCTGCTTGTGAGCATCCCCTAGCACCAGTGCTTAGCATCCTTGGGCAGCTGCTTGGGGACCCACAACTAGGGCTGGGCAGTATCTGGGTTTCAACATTGTGATGGAGCTATGTAGAGGCACTGGCTGGCTTCATGGTTTTTCCTGCATCCTGATTTTTTTTCTGGCGCCTGCAAAGTTAACAGGGGCTGAAGGAATTGAGAGAGGCATTGGGTAATGTTGTACGAATTTAAGGTCTCAAATATATAAATTAAATGTACAAGGCAAACACGTACATAAATACGTGTCTGAAACAGTACAGGAAGACAGTCCTGAAACCATTTTGACTCCCCCAAACTGACCAAATGTTTCTCTGCAAGGAGAGAGGAAATGAAAAAAACCTCCCCATTGTCTCTGTGCTCACAAATCCTGCCTTAAGGGCACATTTCAGGTGTGGCTAGGGTGAGCCTGTGACCTGAATTCAGGAATTAAGTAGTTATAATAACAAAAGAGTGGCCAAAACCCAAATAATGCAATCAGGTAACTTGCCAGACAGGAGATAAACAACACACTCAGGATTCTGTTTTAGACTGCCCCCTGTGATGTATGTATGTATGATGTATTGGGGGTGGTCTGGAGTTTGAGGGTGGGTAATTTAAAAATTCTATATAAGGGCGGGCACACCTTTGTTCTGGGTCCTCCTCCTCTCTCCTTCTTTTGGGGGGAGCACCCTGTTGCAACAGCTTTAATAAAGATCAGGCTTACTAGCTGCTTTGCTTCTCAATATTCTCTGGTTGGCCTCTGTTATTTTCTCTTACCAATGAAGAACCTACAAAGGACTCTATAAGGGCTCTTGTGTACTCTTGTGAAAGGGGCAGATTTTGTTTACAACAGTGGCTTTTCCCATATTGTGATTTTTGCATAGCACACACACACACAATGATTCGCAATATCAAAAATTATGAAACCGATACCACCATAGACAACAACCTATCGAAAAGCCTGAAATATGCACTAAGCTGTTAGAATGTTGCAGCCAGTGAAAAGACGTATGATGCAGTTAAAGACACACCCTTTCCCTTCTTGTCCCCTACTTCATTCCTTCACATACCCCCCACCCCCACCTGTCCTCCCTCCCTCCCTGCTTTCCTTTTCTGTTTTCCCCCAACCCTCCTTTCCCTTTGTCTCCAACCATTCGCTGTCAGGAAGTGCCGCATCCGAAGGGCTATTTCAGGACAACGTGGCAGCAGCAGAGACTAGCAGCAATGGCAGCTACAACAGTGAGTGGATCTCGACTCCAGTGGGGGGGGGGCAGTTGCTTGACTGAGAACCTGGTCACTGGGGCGGGGCAGGATAACCATGCTATAGATCACCCATGCTGTAGATTAGGTGCTTGGGCAGACTGCAAACTCTTGTCTAGAGGTCCCTCTGCAATCTACTAATTTGCTCCTATTAAAAAAGAAATACCGTATTTTTCACTCTATAAGACGCACCAGACCATAAGACGCACCTAGTTTTTGGAGGAGGAAAACAAGAAAAAAAATATTCTGAATCTCAGAAGCCAGAACAACAAGAGGGATCGCTGCACAGCGAAAGCAGTGATCCCTCTTGCTGTTCTGGCTTTTGGGATAGCTGCACAGCCTGCATTCATTCCATAAGACGCACACACATTTCCCCTTACCTTTTAGGAGGAAAAAAGTGAGTCTTATAGAGCAAAAAATACGGTATATGTCAGCAACATTCACACTATACATTTAAAGCACTGTGATGCCATGTTAAGCAGTCATGGCTTCCCCCCTGTAGTTTGGTATGAGTGCTGAGAGTTGATAGGAGAGCCCCTATTCCCTTCCTACAGCTACAGTTCTCAGGGTGGTCCAACAATCAATCCCTCTTTTCACAGAAAGCTGGGAATCATAGTGTGTTAAATCTAGGTGCTTTAAATGTATGGTGTGAATGAATATGGCCTCCATCTCCTCTCCTATGTCTCGTTACTCAAACTAAAGGGCTCCAGCCAGTGATCTACATGCTGATATTTCAAATCTATTCCTCATCTTGGTGGCTCCCCTTCACAGGAGCCAAATCCTAGGGGCCAAGGGGGCTTTGCCCCCCATAAAATATTTGAGGGGGGCAGGCCTCCTCCTTGATGAGCATTGCCATTCAAATGGTGTGTCATGTGATCAATTATGCAGTGCAGGGCTTACCTTCCCCCCAATATTTTATTCAATTCCCCCCCACTCCCCTCTGTGCCCCTTTGCTGCCGCCTTCCTAATTCCTTGGAACCCCATCCTTTTACAATGCTCCCTTCTTTGTGCTGGGCTGCTGCCTTCTCGAGACCCCCAGCTCCGGGTTATCCAGCTCCCCCACCCCCACACTGCTACTTCTGCTCCTTCCTTCCTCTGTGCATCAACCTGACCTGCCTTTTCTCTGAGATGAGAGCCGCTCAATCGTTCTGTGCCTTGCGGTGGGGAATTATCCCCCCTCCCAAAAGAGGACAAAAGATCTGCATAAAATTTGCATGTTCCGATTCCTATGTATAGATGCAAATTTAGAAGCTATTACTATAATTTAACTAGAAGTGCCATAGATATCAGCATAATGAGAAGACTGTCATCAGGGGACCTGTTGCATCCGCTGTCTCACTGTTGACAGGCATCTTCAAGGCCTCCTTTGCTCTCCTTTCTTAAGATGATTTAGCTTTAAGCCAGGCTTTGGACTGAGCAGCCCTTCACCCAGAGGACTCTTTCAAGCAGAGGAGTGTTCTCTCCGTAACGTAGCACACCTGGTCACCCTATTATATGGCCCACCTTTCTCTGACATTGACTCAGCTGCTCTAATTGCTGCCGGGAGTTTCATCATCATCCCTTGGATGAAGGACCACATAGCTCAGTGGCTGATCGCATGCTTAGCATGCAGGAAGCCCCAGCTTCAGTCCTCAACATCTCCTATTGCCGATATTATTATTGCACAGTTTGAAGCAACTGGATGAATGAGAACTGACTCCTTTTGGAATGAATTGTTGCCTGCACCCATGAAAATGTTCCTTTTTTACCAGGCCTTTGGTTGATTTGATTGACATCCTATGTTCTTTCAAAAAATGTGGTGGGGTTTTTTTTTTGGGGGGGGGGTTATTGGGTTGTTGTTTTTATTTTTGATCTTGTATTTTGTGGTTTTATATTTTGATTTTATTCTATGAACCTCCCTGATACTTCTTCTGGGTATACGTTGGTATCATCATTATCATCAAACTTTTACTTGTAGAACTCTTCAAAACAAAACATAAACATAAAACGATATATCCAAAAATATCCATACAATATCTTGTGTTGTCCAGCACAGGCTCACCATCTTAGAAATAAAAAATAGCTTCAGCAATCAAAACAATGTCTCTCCCCCCCCCCATTCCAGCTTGCCTTCTATGTAGCTTTTTGCAGAGCCATTATCAAGTCCTTTTTCCCCTCTGTCATGTTCAGAGAAAGGCTAACAGCCACCACCCTTTCAAGATGGTGAATTTGCAACTCAATAGCCTCATCACATGATCAAAGGTTACATTCAGTTTACAGCTAAAGAACAATCAACAGGTAATCATTAACCCATTAAGGAGCTTAGAGTCCTGAGGAAAAACCCCATTCCTGTGGAATGTTTAGACTTTCGAATGCTGGCAACCTGGAAGTGAAGTCGAATGGCTTCTGAGGCTTGTTTTTTCCATTTTTTCAATGGATTTTGCTGACCGGCAATTGCACCTTGGTTGTTGAATGTTTCAGAAGTCGAACGGTCTTCCGTAATGGATTATGTTTGACAAGTGAGGTTCCACTGTATATCAGCTAAAAAGCCAGAGTTCCATATCACAACTGCTACTGCAGTATGAAAGGAGCATTAGAAAATGAGACAGAAATGCTAGCATTATAATCAGGAAAACTAATGCAATACTCCTCACGTGTGAATCTGCCTAGCTCAGTTGGTTAGTTAGAGCATGGTGCTGATAACACCAAGGTTGCAGGTTCAATTCCCATATGGAACAGCTACATATTCCTGCATTGCAGGGAGTTGGACTAGATCAGGGGTAGGCAACCTAAGGCCTGGGGGCTGCATGCAGCCCAATTGCCTTCTCAATCCGGCCTGTGGATGGTCTGGGAATCAGCGTGTTTTTAGATGAGTAGAATGTGTCCTTTTATTTAAAATGCATCTCTGGGTTATTTGTGGGGCCTGCCTGGTATTTTTACATGAGTACAATGTGTGCTTTTATTTAAAATGCATCTCTGGGTTATTTGTGGGACATAGGAATTCATTCATTTCCTCCAAAAAAATATAGTCTGGCCCACCACATGGTCTGAGGGATGGTAGACCAGCCCCCTGCTGAAAAAGGTTGTTGACCCCTGAACGAGATGATCCTTAGGGTCCCTTCCAACTCTACAATTATATGATATATGATATGATATATGAATGCATCTTCGGTGTTGCCCTTTCAGAATTCAACAAGGAGAAGGATGGGGACAAAACTACAGCTGATTGGCTCTGGCTGCCATTGGCTCTGGCTCCACCTATCAATAGTCTCCCTACCAATCCTGAAGAGCACCAGCCACTGCTGTTCCTACCCAAATCAGTCACAATCCTGCAATTCAATTCATTGTCTTTTCCAACCCAGCAAATGTACCACCTCCTGTTGCAAAAGCACAGACTGAACTTTCTCCTGGTATAAGGTCTGCTCATTTATTAATGCTCCAAGCTTTATATATATCCCCACTCTCTATTACATTGTAACGTCATTCTAGTAGCTGTCCTTTTTCACCAAACAGCCACCTCCTAACTGTTAACCTTCTTCTCCTTCTTCTCTTGCTTTCGTTTTTTTTTAAAAAAAACCCGATTTCCCACCCCCAGTCTATAAAATATGCTGATTAAAAAATTCCCTTAGTACATCTTGTATCATTTAATAATATAGCAATTAAATAATGTTAACACACTGGGATGATAGCAATTAAAGGAGTGAAGCTGCTACGGGGGAGGATGAGAAAGAATTCTCCATGCAGCTTTATCTAGAGGGTGAATCATGGAAACCACGCAGTCATGATCTCAAAAGCAGACATCCCAAGCTTTCGAAAGCCCACCCTTACTTGGAAGCAAATGCCACTTCACATATGAGTAAGACACACGGTGTACATAAGAATCATCAACTAGGGCACCCTACAGGTGCACCCTACAGTCTTATTGCAGCTTCCAAGCTCTTCTTATCTCCTCCATTATCTTCTGCACTTGCACTTGCCCTGTCAAAACAGGTTCCTGAGCCAATTCCTGAATGATTTCTATATGGGTATTCACCGCCTGTCCAAAGTTTTTGACTGCAACAGTCATCAAATCCATCTTCTCATGCATCTGCTCCAACAAAGCGCTTGTCTTGCAAAGAGCAAGCACCAAAACTTCTTCTAGACCCCTTTTTTCACTGAAGGTCAGAGTCTGCTCCCACGATCCTAATCTCCCAGCTGTGAAATCCCCAGATCGACTCCAGTAACAATTTAACAAGCTCCCTCTAGAGGAGACAATTTCTATTTGTATCCATCTTTTAAAAGCAGGTCCAACAAAAGAAAATTACTTTCATTTTTCAAATATTTTGTTTCTTTTGAATGCAAAAGGCAACATTGGAATCAATTTGTTTCTCTTTTTTAGCTATCTGTCAAAAACGTTCCATTCACAGTCAATGAACTTCCCCAAAAATTCTGTCTCTGGCACCCCATTCCCAGGTTTCAGACGGTGGAAATTTATCTTTCTTTACTCTCTCTCCTGCAGGCTTGAACAATCAAAGTCCCCCCCCCTTTCTCCTGCTTCCAAGGGGGGTTTTGGTAGTTATAAATGAAGGAAATTTAGACCTTTATATACGACTTTCCAGACTTTAGCTTGCAAGGTTTTTGCTTCAGTCTATTTACAAAAGCGGAAGGCGGACTTCCTGTTTTGAGCCTTCCCGCTTCGGTGCCAAATTAAAATGTTTCTTTAATCCAATTTTCTGTTTCTACTCACGGGTACTTGTTTTAGAATCCAATTGTCCACAGGAAAAAGTCAGCGCTCTCCGGCAACGGCTGTGCGGCTTCACTCCGTAAAAGTAGCAGTCGATTCAAAACACCACGCTGCTCACCCCACGTCGCTTCGGATCCCCGAAAAAGGGTTTCCCTGCGAGTAGGGGAGGCGCTCCTGGTGTCAGCCGAATCCCATGTTCCCAGGCTTCCTCCGCCTGGGATTTTTAAAGGGTCTCCGCCTTCGCCGCGGCGGCAAGACCCGATTTTCATGGAGCAGG